CAAGTGCCTGTCCTGGAAGCCCATCACTTGGAGGATAAAGAACTTCGGAAAAGAGCGAAGATTCTCGGGAAATGCAAAGAAGCCATGTGGAAACGGTGGACTCGAGAGTATGTGCGAAGCCTCCGTGAACGTCATGTAAACGGGGGAGGTCACCAAGCGTCAGTGCCAAGAAAGGGATCAGCCATGATCATCCAAGATGATAACAAGAACCGAAAAACGTGGAAACTCGGGATCGTTGTAGATATGATTAAAGGAAAGGACGATGTCGTACGGGGAGCTAAAGTTAAAACAGCGAACGGAGTACTGGAAAGAGCAATCCAGCAACTATACCCTCTTGAGTTGACTTGCGACGATAACCACTTCCAGAAACCTAATCCCCAGGCACCCACCTTCGTTCCACGAGCGATGAGAGACGCAGCTGCCGCTGCAAGTTTACGAATCGAGCAACAAGCTGAGGAAGACATACGAGAGACATAACTTTCCAAGAGAAACTTTTGTAGTTCAAATTGACAATTTATTATATGACATTAATATTTCAGTTTTGTTTAGAAATCACGAGAGGACAATAACGAAGTCAGTCTCAAGTGGACATATACCTCTTCAACGAGCTATATGGGGGAGTGTGTTGAGAACTGACAGATAAGCCTTTACAATTATGTATTACATAGATAGAATAGTTATTAGTATTAGTACTAGCAATATCAATTATTATTAGGGATATCACGTGACACTGTAACAAGAGATGAGTGAGAATAGGTAGTGACTAGGGACACGCTGTGAGTGCATCGAGCACGAGTATTGTTGTTGTTGTAGAATTATATTTTTATTAAATGGTTTTTATTTTGTGACTTGTCGAGGACTACAGTTTGGAGGCAACATTCTCGACACCTCTATACAAGCTTTTTAGTACAGCGCGATCATACTCTTTGGGTCTGATCATTTTTTTACACAACAGGATATATTTTACTCTTACAATTTCACACATACATCTTCAATTTTATGTTCCACAAGTCTATAACCTACACTTATATTTCTTAGGTTCACATTGATACAAATACAAGTGGTTTTTTATCTTTTATCCTCAGGTTTTTCAAATACAACATTTTTTCAAAGGCATACATTGTGATTGTGCCAACAACACCAGGCCATTACCCTATCATATTTCACACTACATTTTTTCATCTAACATTTAGGGACTGTTGTGGCATAAAATTATTACTAGGACACCAATATGGTTCTCATTACCTACATCTAAACCTAAAAAAACCTAGCATCATTCCTGATGATGACTGAATCTTAACCCGCTCATTCATACATAGAAATATTATACCTCACAATGAGCTTGTCCAATCAGAGAACTAAATTTGTACCACATGACCATGGTATTTTTCAGCGAATACTATGACCTAGGCAATTTGAACGCTGGGTGTTTTACCCGGGGCCATGGTATTCGACTTCGCATACCACGCTTGAGCGGGAAATTCGACTTTTTTAAATGTAAAGTTATCAAAAGTTGTGTTTTGAAATTAAAAGTTAATTGAATGGTATTTGTTTTCTACTTATTTTTGAAAGGTTCGGTATAATATACCATTTATAAACCTTTCACTCGGGGTATTCCACAAAAAATTACCCTGCGGGATGAAATATACCTCAGGGTAATTTTTTGTGGAATACCCCTCGTTTCAGGTCTATAACTGATAATAACCCCACTACTAAAATTGAAATGCAATTTCATCATTAATTGGAAAACTACCAACAGCAACTCGTTCCTCTCAAACAAAGAGGTAGTATACGAATTCACCTGTCCTGGATGTGAAAGTAGATACATCGGTAAAACAGATCGCTGCTTCTACACCAGAATCAAAGAACACTCACTGGACAACAAATCTGAAGTCTTTAACCACATCATATCATGCGAACACTTTCAACATATCAAATCCATCATTTTTTCTGTGTTGTTGCAATGTACTCAGGTGAATATGATGCTTGTGATGTTACTCTGGGTGTATATCCACACCGGGCAAGCTTGAAAAATATGCCTGACCACGGTGGTAGAGTAACATCACAAGCATCATATTCACCTGAGTACATTGCACCAAACACAGAAAAAATCATCATTATTAGATTACATTGATATCGAAAGAACTAGATTCTGTTCCGAAATATCACATACTCGAACCGACCAGACCGTGTAGCTCAGTTAGCAGAGCATTGGGCTAGCATTCCAAAGGTCGTAGGTTCGATTCCCACCGTGGTCAGGCATATTTTGCAAGCTTGCCCGGGGTGGATATACACTCAGAATAACATCACAAGCATCGTATCAAATCCATTTTAGAACTGTATCCAGACGAAAAAACTAACCCAACTGAAACTTGTATACTTTCAGAACTTATATTTACTAACTCTAAGATTATAGACAGATCTGATCATTGGTCCTTATTGCTATTTAAGGAAGCACTTGCCATTAGACAACTTAAACCTGAACTTAATCACGGAACTAAGGCATCAAAAGAACTTGTAATATTTAACTAATCGTTTCTGTACATATCAAATTACTTAATCTTCACTATATATATATCAATGTAATGTAAAATAACATCATTCCTGATGATTACTGAATCTTAGTCGAAAGCTAGAATATTAAAATTTTTATTTGCGGAGTTACCGTTGTTTTATATTTTACATGCTGTTTCTCTTCTGTTTCGTAAGGTTTCTAGATTGGCTAATTCGAACGCCTCTGTAGTATTTGTAGGATGCGATAAGTTAATAATTAACTTCTAAGCATGTAGCAAACGTTGATTGACATTTGTAATAAATCATCATTCAGTCTATTCTATAGCCTCTTCATAAGAGCTTTCAGGAAATATCCTTCTTAAACACCGTCTTTTTTGCATCCTTTCGATATCTGAACTCAGGTACTGCGGTAGGGAGTTGTGGAAAACAGGCGAAGCATATTCTAGCGTCGAACGAATACAGGCGCAATATATTTGGATCAAATCTTTGACAGGAACTTGCGCTATTTTTAATTGTGTTATTAAATATAAACGTTTGCTAGCTTTTGATATAATGTTATCGATATGCATTTTCCATTTAAAGCCATTGCTGAAAGTAAGACCAAGGGTTTTTGCATAACTAACAACTTCGATTTTTTTGTAGTTAATGAAAATAGGATGGAGAGAGGTATTTTCAGTTGGTTCTCGTGAGAAGTCGATTCTTAATTCTTTACACTTTTCCTCATTTAATTCAGCCATATTCGAAATTGCCTACGCTTGTACTGCGTCAACTGATTCCTGGATACGACTTTGATCTTTTTTAGAAATTGTTTCAGACAAGGTTGTGTCGTCCACATATTTCCACAGACTTTCACAAGATGTTGTTGTTGGTGCAGTTAAGTCGTTGATCATTAAAATGTACAGCCACGGGCGAGATTTGTTGCTTGTGGCACCACTGAGCGAACGTTACTCCAGTCGTAGAAACAACCATTGTTTAATTTAACCCTTTGCTTCCGATTAATTAAGAAATCGATAATCCAATTAGCTATTTGAGGTGAAAGGTCGAGGGATTTCAATTTAAGAATCAATTAATTATGATCAAGCAGATCAAATGCTTTTCGGAAATCAAACAGTACTATGCGAACCAAGTTACCAGTTTGATCAGCAGCTTGTGGCCATTGGTGCAGCATTGAAACAAGGGCCACAGTAGTAGACGACCGGGCAACAACGCCAAATTGTTTCGGGTCTAGAATCTTCAAAATAGAAGATTTTAGATGTCTTTCTAAAATGAACTCTTCTGCTACCTTCGATAAGATTGGGGTTAGTGAAATCGGATGAAGGTGTTTGTCAATGTTAGTTATTTGTTTTTTCCTTAGGAATTGGTGATATATTAGCACTTTTCCATATTGAGGGCAATTTTCCTTGGTTGTAGGAACAATTCAGGATTACACTAACTGGGTATGCAAGGATTTCAGCATAGGCTTTGTAAACCCAAGGAGAAATGCCGTCAGGACCCGAGGATTTATCCAAGTTAAGGGATTTTAGACTTTTGTACGTGTCGAGCTCGTTTACTTGCAAAGATGAAGTATTTAGGTTAAATATTTCAGATGTATTGTTAGTTTGAGCTTGAATCTTTGCGGACTCGTCAAGTGGAGTATAAGCTTGTTGTGGATCCTAAAATGAATTGTTAATTGAATTTGCGACATCTTCAGGAGACATGTGATCAAAGTTATCAATTGCGTTAGCAAGAAGCGAAATTAGGTCACGGTGATTGTTTACCGGTGAACACCCGCTAATTCGATTGACTTCCTTCCACCAATTCTTTGGTCTGGAGTTTTTTAAATTGTGTACTTTGGACAAATGACATAGTACTTGAATAATGTTACATTTCCCCCTGCTAAGGCCATCTGACGCTTCTTAATCTATGATTTTAAATCTGTGGACATCCACGGTGTGTCGTTACTAATGTATCTTTATGACTCTTTCAGGCATAATATTATCTAAACCAATTATAATAAAATCTTTAAGTAACTTAGCTTTGTTTTCTACTGAAACAACAGAGTGGAGCACTGACCAATCGATTGAGGAAAGATAACGACCAAGTTGCTGTTTATTAGATGGTCTTAGGTCCCTGCATTTAATTTTAAAGGGTTTTCTCTTGACTTTCAACTGAGGTTGGAAAGTTATGGTACAGTGGTCTGAAAGGCTGGTTTTTCATAAAAGGTGGAGAGGTTAGTTAGGATTAAATCTAAAGTATTTTGGGCCCGAGTTGGAAAGTCGATAACTTGTTTTAGTTTGAACTGCCGTTTAATAGATGAGATATCGACGCGGTTAAAATCTCCTGCTAAAAGAAAAGCACAATTGGGGATTTCACTCTCGATTGCTGATCATGAGAGGGAGCTAATTAAGTACTCGACCATTGTTTGATCATTACTGCTGGGGGGGGTGGGGGTGGGGTGGTGGTGATATATTGTCCCAACAACAATACAGGGTACTCCACGTGGGAGTCTTTTTGGGCAAATTTTAAGCCAAAGTACCTCTTGCCTCTTGGTCACTCGATTCAAAGGCATTAAGCCGACTACAGTTTATCTCTTCTCGGATAAATACACAAACTCCACCATGAGAAGTTCGAATGCAATCTTTACGAATTACTTTGTAGCCTGGAATATGAATGACGTTGTCCGTGATGGAGCCCCTTAGCCACGTTTCAGTAATACACGCCAAGTCTAGGTTAAGGTCCAGAACAAACGAGCGTACTTCGTCTATCTTAGGGGCTAATGACATTACGTTTGTTAACATCGGACTCGGGACGAAATTCTTACTGCTCTTCGATGTTTGGCAACTTTTCCCATTAGGGGAGGAATATTTGTTTGTGTTAATAGTAGTAACTTTTTCACTCGGAATAGTGATCAAATTGTTTCTGTATCGTTCTTCATGTCGACCATAACATGTCGATCTTGTGAGTTTACTCTTTCGAGTAGTTATTTGGGTTGATATCTGTTAGTGGATTTTTGTCATTCTCGTAGTTGGATCTGGGCTAGTTTTCGAAAAATTGTCATATAATAATAGAAGTTGAAAAAGTTCAATTTGTCCCTTCGCACTCGGTCTATACGAAAATCCTCTTCACTCATTCTTGCAAATTCTGGATTAGTTGTTCTGGTTTCGCGACGGACGAAGTCTGACAAGCCTATACTTTTCTGTGGGGTGGGCTCAGGGAAAGGCTCATTAGAGGTAGGGGTGCTTGTGTGACCAGACTATTTGACTGATTCTGATGGACATGCTCCAAATGGCCTGGCCTTGTTTCCGCGCTACATTCTGTGTACATTTCCGGTTAGTAAAGTCGGTGTTTATCATGAGTCTTATCTCTGAAATTACAGTCCTGTTGCGAATTTCGC